ACATGGTTACGAAAGACGTCGTAGTGGAGGGCTTCGAAACTTTTCGCCCACCTGGGGTTCTTCAACGTGCACCCAAATTCAAACACGGGGGCCTCTGACATTTTCGCGTCCACCGAAAACGCACCCACCGCAGCCGGAATTCAATCGCGCGCCCTTCGGCTTTGCAGTCGAGTGCCATAATCATCAGACCACCGATTGATTGATTGATATGTGGGGTTTAACGCCCCAAAACCACTATATGATTATGAGAGACGCCGTAGTGGAGGGCTCCGGAAATTTAGACCACCTGGGGTTCTTTAACGTGCACCCAAATCTAGCACACGGGCCTACAACATTTCCGCCTCCATCGGAAATGCAGCCGCCGCAGCCGGGATTCGAACCCGCGACCTGCGGGTCAGCAGCCGAGTACCTTAGCCACTAGACCACCGCGGCGGGGCAATCAGACCACCGAGGCTGCGTCACTGATGGGCCACATTTTTCGCAGAAACGCGTTCGAAGCAGCATATAGGAAGAAAATATGTAGTCAGTTAAAAATAATTTACGTGGCCATCTGATTCTCTGCTACGTTAGCCAAAGGGCTAGAGTACACTACTTATACAATATTCAGTAAAGCGGCCCATGCTACAGTCTATAATTACACCACAGGCATGCCGCACATAGAGTCAGAATTGGGGCGTGGGGGCATTTTATTTTCTGTATTTGTACTGCGCACTGATAGTAAAGGCCTTAGGGATCGGGAACAGTGGGGCGCAGGGATGGGGATTGCAAAAAAATTGAGGTACCTTTAAGCTTTGCTTTTAAAGAGCTGAAAGAGATAGCGATACTCTGTCTATAGCTCGTACTTCAACTAGTCAGTGCAAACTTTTTATTGTATAATGTTACTTGCGAAATTTAAATTGTGGGTATACAATGCAATCGATGAAGTTGAAAGTGACTTGTATCAGTGAAGTTTTCGCATGTCGCTCTATTATGTGCTATGGGTAGCACGTTTGAAATCGCGTGCATTTATAATAATAATAATAATAATAATAATAATAATAATAATAATAATAATAATAATAATAATAATAATAATAATAATAATAATAATGTATTCAGTAGCAGCAGCTGCAGCCTGACAACGCCCACTGCAATACAAAGGGCTCTACCATAATCCGCGCCAATGAATCTGGTCTTATGCTTTGTGCTGCCAAGTTATACCTGCGAACTTTTTAATCTCGTCAGCCCACCTAACTTTCTGTCTCCCCCTCAATCGCTTGCCGTCTCTGGGAATCCAGTCAGTTAGATTATAATATAGATTGCTTCGAGGCCCCATGAGCTAAAATTGAGAAATCGTGTATAAAGTCGAGTATTGGTACAGCTTTTACTTTTTTGCATGCGGTTTATATGCACAAGCTTATTAAAATAACCAGAGGGTTCGAAATTATCAGAACATCGAGTATAATTATTACAAAAATCATCAATAAACACATTATATTTAAAATATTTCTATTAATGAATCAAACAACTTCACTATCAACAAAACGCAAACATTAATTGCGTGAGAATAAAATTATTTTTAATTAAAACATTCATTTAACCTTCAGAAATTGCATGACGAATTGAAGGAGAAGCCATCGTGAAATTTTCCGCAAGAATGTCGGCATAGCGGTACTTTTTAATGCATACACCTAAACACGTTGTGCACAAGCACACCTGACTTTCCGCCCCATGTAAATTTTATTCGCTGACGCGAAAATGTATTTAAAACAAAAGTGTCGAAAGCTGCACATGCCCCACCTCTCATCGGACCATGCACAGCGAAAGCGGTCGGTAATCTAACCATCAACCAACGACCCCTTGCCGAAACGCTCATTGCAGGGGCATATTCGTTTGATGATTTTTTACTATTGAATCTAGCAGCGCTTGCCTAAGCCATAGGCATACACTTGCGCAATCACCACCAGAAGTTTATAGATTGTGAGATGAAACAAACAAACGAAAAATGCGGAATGTTCTGTCTCCTTCGTCAGTGAGCGTCGGACTTATGCTAATCATGATTAGGCCTCACCGAGATCAAACTTCATAACTGTGGTTGGATTCATTCTGTACCTTGAGTAAATGAGCCAATGAAGACACGTGTTTACTTTCAAAAGTGTTTGTGTGACACCAATATTATGTTTACGACCTGTTTTAAAACGCGTTAACGCGTACCGTGGGGTTCGACCGACTGCAGTTAAATTGTGCTGAGAAATTGAAAATTTTCTCAGACCTACAGTGGTCCTTAACCTTAAACCTTCTGACACCAACTGCACATATGCAAAAAATTAGCAGCGACTATAGTGCGACTTCATGTCCTCTACATCCACTCCCACTTCCCCAGCAAACGTCGACCGCACGGTTGCCGGGTCACCGCCGTACGATATGCATCATGTGACCTCACCACAGGTGAGGACACTAGCGTTCGACCGCACGGTTCTGAGAAGTCCCACCGGTATATCGGCCCAGTTTCTCGGTGCGACAACCAGGAGACGTGTCTCTAGAATACACGCTCGCTAGAATGCCAACTTGTGCCGAGGGTGAAACCCTCTACCTACCAATCCCTCCTTAGGTGTCTCGAACCACCCAGTCGAGGTACTGGTGGTAGGAATAGGTTTCAGGGTCTTTACATATACAGCAGTTCTACAGTACACACACAGGCGTCAATATGCAAAAAATAATTAATATAACAACGAATAAAGTGGCACTTCATGTCCTCCACATCCACTCCCACGTCCCCAGTAAACGTCGACCGCACGGTTGCCGGGTCACCGCCGTACGATATGCATCATGTGACCTCACCACAGGTGAGGACACTAGCGTTCGACCGCACGGTTCTGAGAAGCCCCACCGGTATATCGGCCCAGTTCCTCGGTGCGACAACCAGGAGACGTGTCTCTAGAATACACGCTCGCTAGAATGCCAACTTGTGCCGAGGTTGAAACCCTCTACCTACCAATCCCTCCTTAGGTGTCTCGAACCACCCAGTCGAGGTACTGGTGGTAGGAGTAGGTTTCAGGGTCTTTACATATACAGCAGTTCTACAGTACACACACAGGCGTCAATATGCAAAAAATAATTAATATAACAACGAATAAAGTGGCACTTCATGTCCTCCACATCCACTCCCACGTCCCCAGTAAACGTCGACCGCACGGTTGCCGGGTCACCGCCGTACGGTATGCATCATGTGACCTCACCACAGGTGATGACACTAGCGTTCGACCGCACGGTTCTGAGAAGTCCCACCGGTATATCGGCCCAGTTCCTCGGTGCGACAACCAGGAGACGTGTCTCTAGAATACACGCTCGCTAGAATGCCAACTTGTGCCGAGGTTGAAACTCTGTACCTACCAATCCCTCCTTAGGTGTCTCGAACCACCCAGTCAAGGTACTGGTGGTAGGAGTAGGTTTGAGGGTCTTTACATATAGAGCAGTTCTACAGTACACTTACAGGGGTCAATATGCAAAAAAGTTAATAATAGCGATTACGATGGGACTTGATGCATTTGCATTCAAAGACAAGTGATCGTTCAACACTCTTCGAAAAATGGTTGAGTTAGGATTTGCTAAACACGACACTGCCACAACTGCAGTAACGGTTAGCATTCCAACGGTAAATGCGCAAGCGTTTCACTGTGGTGTCCGCTGGCCACGCGTCATGAGCTCGACGCATGTCCCTGTCCGTGAAGTGGAAGTGTAACCCAAACATATCCGATCATCATCATCATCATCATCATCATCATCATCATCATCCTGGCGACGCCCACTACAGGGCAGAGGCCTCTTTCAGGTTTCGCCAATCTGCCCCGTCCTGTGCTCTGCGTGGCCATGGAATCTCGCAAAATGCTTAATCGCACTGACCCAACTACAACTATCTTTCAATCCCCCCTCTCGCACACTTGCCTTCTCTTGGAATGTAGGCTGTTAATATCAATGACCAGTGGTGATCTTGCCTGGGGGCGACATGATTTGCCCACTTCTACATGGACTGTATATCTTCATCCTACTTGAACCGTGCCCACGCCAATCAAGATTTGTAGTCCATATGTTGACAAATAAGACGCGCGTTGGTCACGTGCGTATACTTGGCATCGAACTAACGAAGGCGAAAAACGAATTAAAACCACTTTATAATTCACGCAGCGGGGCACCAACTGTCAGGTGTTGTTTGATCGTTTCTTTAAGGCGGCACTTGCGTGACCCTGAGAAATCAGTGAACATTAGAAGAAATTCCTGGATATGACATCGCCAAGCTACCTGCCACTCGGTCCAAGAGTCAAGTTCCTTTCCCACTCCCCCGAAAGATAGGTAGAGAAAGAGAAACACAAAAACAAATCTGGAGCAGTCAAATATTGTCTAATAAGGCGGAGTGCTATCGATGGGTTCTTTTTTTTAAAAATAGAAACATCTCTGACAAGAAATGTATAAAAAAATTCATTGCCCCACATTCCCCTCAGGGGAAAGTGTCTTGACCACTGTATACATGATTACAGATTCCACAAGACAATGCTTTACTTCTTCCACAACACGGGTCATGCGGCACACACAAGGTATTGTCTTACAGGTAAGACTGTATCCTAATAAATAAAAAAGGAACAGTTTGGTGCGAGTGGTTTTTGTTATTTTGGTAAATATTTTGTCTCCTTAAATGTTTCACGGCAGTTTGGGGGTCCATTTCTTTAATCTATCTTCCAATTATAGCCGTAGGCTAAAATTCTGGTTTAATCGAAAATATTGTTGTGGGCAGGCGCGTAAAAGCAATTTTTAGGGGGGGGGGGGTGGTGGAAGTCAACTGCCTTTTATATATGCATTTATCCGCAACTGTAACCCCAGTTAAAGTTCTGGGGAAATTGACAGCGCATTGCCGTGAATAAAAATTGTCAAATTCGAAACCTTTTAATAGGGAAGTACCCCCCCCCCCCCCTTCACTCATTTTGTTAGCTTGCCGATTACCGCGGGAGAAAAGAAAAAGTACTCACCTTCGGTGACCTAACTGGCGAAGAGCTGACCACACGGTCGAATGGATCACGGAGCCGTCGGCTTCTCCTTTATGCTCTGCTGACCCTTCTTCGAGATGCCAACAACCGACGAGGTGGTGGACGGACAAGCGGCCGGCTGAAACAACAACAACAACAACAATAACAACAAGGAGATGAAGAAGAGCACAACGGTACGAAGCTGGCAGGAGCCAGCAAATCAGGCATGCAATTGGCACCGTGCCGCTACTCCTCCACCGCGGCTCGTCGTTGGTTCGCGCTGCTTCCGCTGACGGAGACGCAGCCGCGGCGCCTGCGACAGCCACATCAGTTTCGTTCGTCGCCCCCTGCAAAAGCCGAGCCTCTCGCACGCAGCGAGCGGCACGCGAAAGTGCGTAGTACCCCTGCTGCCACAGGAGCCGCCCACCTACACACGCGCGCGCCTCCTGCTGCTACGCGCGCGCGCAAACTTCGCCGTCGATTTTTCGGGTCGTGATCCGACCTCTCCCACGTCTTTCTCTCCCTCTCTCACAAAGCCGCTGCCTTACTGGCTTCGCATCTTTTCCTTCTCCCTAACCCCTACTAAGAGCGTTACATAGATCACGGTAACCCCCTCCTTTTCTTTCCCGTCTCCACTGCTGAGACGGCAGGAGCCGCAATCGGATCTCCACCACGCGTGCTATTTGCAAATGGGCGTCGCCTAATTGACCGGGCCGGACGGCTGGCCCAGACGTGACGGGAAGGCGTGTGCAATCGTAATCGTGTTAAGGAAGTCGACCCACAATTCGCAGAGGTTGAGAAGCTCATGGGAGCGACATAAAATGGTCGGAGGTGCGTCGATTAATCCGTCTGTTGGAATTTCCCGTGCTGCCCTCTGTCGTTTTTGGTGGAGACAACTGGTATCGCCGAAACTGAAGCCTCCGAGATCTAGAAGCGTTTCGCGACATTTTCTCGAGGGGAAAGGCGATGCGTGGCATCGGGAAAAAAAAAGTGGATTCTCAAGGAACGATACAAGCATTAACTTCGCGCACAGAAGGCGGAACGTTAGCAATGCATTAAACAACTATGCAAAAGCCCGTAGTTATCGGAACTCCTTGTTAAGGCGATAGCCTTAGTTGCCTCATCGAGCGCGAAAAGTGACCTGTGGAGTCGGTGTCAACACGAGTGACACAAAAAATTGGCACCACCAGACTACGTCAGAGGCTGCTAAAACTGATGACGTCACATGACAACATCATCACGTTATGTCGTCGCTTGGTCAAAGGTGGGCCAGTACTGGAGGTAGTGTAAAAACCATGTTACGTGCAGAAAGCTTTCAGGAGCGCCAGTCAAGGCAATCGAATGAGAAGGGAGAGAGAATTCTTTGTTGAGATGCAGAGAATTTAGTCGACTGAGAAGAAAAAGTTCTTCAGCTTCACTGTTGTGTAACCTCAGGATATGCGTAGCATGGGCACCCAGCGATTCCCGTTCTTAGAGCTCCGACTGCCCCGTTTACCAAACTGTCGATGACGTCAATGTTTATGGTGTACGCATGCAGGGTTTCCCCGGCACGACTAGAATCTTAGGGAGACTCGCCAACTCGATGTGCGGGATGTGCGCTGCATTTGGCTGTGCTTCAACGACTTCCTGCTTGTCGCGGCAGCTGGGATGCATGTTATTTACTGCGAGTTCCATCAGGTTATTTTCTCCTAGCAGATGTAGCCGTTCAGCACAGGTGAAACGTAAAAAAAGGGCATTCGCACACGCGGCAAAGCGGTGGCGCCCTCTCTTGCGCGGTGCAGGAATCAGCGACATGTTTTCGAAGTGTTTTTACATTTTTTAAAGTTCAATATTGCAATTTCTTCTTTGCTATTTCTGTTAATTATATTTTATACCTTCTTCGTTCATTTCAATTCGGTTTTAAGCATCGCTAAGCTTTTGTGGCCTGTATTGACCACTTTACTCTGAGCGTGACCACGTCACATGTAATACACGGATAAACGACAAGGCGGGCCCCTACAGTGCCATGTACCTAAACGAAGAGGAAGATGGCTTCCGCTTTCGAGTCATTTTAGGCGAATGCGTAAGGGACCGTATTAGCTCTAGCACCAGACGTTCGCTCAATAAGTAGGTCAACAAGCACGCTGTTAACGAGGATATGCAAACGTAAATAATTATCACTCGATGACGGGGGACGTTATGTCCCGTCAGAACGGTGCAAAAAAGAAAAAAAAATAGAAGTTAGCAAGTGCACCGCGTTTTCTCTCGCTTCGAGATAAGATGAACTCCTATGATTAGGCACATGGAGACTGCGCATGCATGCGAATCGACCGTGCATTCATCACTGCGCGGTGTTCAGCCTTCGCACCTTACGCTGATTCCTTGATTCCAGACCTGGCGCGCGGGGCAGGGGCGGACCCATCCGCACATTTTAGGGAAGGGCGGTTGCTCGAAGTAAAACCGGAGAAGGATGGTTTGTAGTGGCTACTATATATCGTCACAAGAACCCAATCACAGCGTATACAACTGGGGGACCCTTAAGCTTCGCCTTTAAGAGTTGAACGCGATAGCAAAATCCGGCCCCTAGTGCACCCTTCAACCGCTAAGTGCATACTTATTTATAAGGTTTCTTTTACGTACACACGCACGCACACAAACACGCACACAGTAGATTAAACCAGCGTGCGCTATTATCGCTAAATGGGCTCATTTTCGTCGTGACACCTGTCGAACAAAATGCGTTAAAGGGGCCCTGAAACACTTTTTCAAGTAACAATGGAATGAATTCCCTAGAAGAGCTTATTGCCTCACGAATTGAACGCCGCGAAAATTTTAAGAATCCGTCCAGTGCGAGTTGAATTACAAAGGTTTGTCGCATGCTGCAATCGCATCATCTCTTCTCTCGTCCCGACGAAAGCGCTGGAAGCTAAGCAGAGGGGGGTGGCAGGGCAAAGAAACTACCACGCCTCGTGACTTTGAGCAGTTTTTTTTTCTTCGAATCCGCAGCTGTTTCAGTGTGATCGCGCGCGCACGCGTGGACAAGTAGCGGCCTCCCCCGGCTACCTCGGTAACTTGATGTTTCGCTCACAGACGCGCAGACGATTTTTCGCTCACAACCAACGGGGCCGATGCCGGCGGCGGGTTTTCTGCGACACGAGCTTTTTGACGCTATCGCGTTAACACATTCATTTGTGCTCACAGTAGTCCCACTCTTTTTTTCTGATCGATCATAGGAGGTGAATGACAGTCAATGGAAGGAGGGGTCTGGAAGCGCTCACACAGGCTTTAGGGCAGAGGGTGATTGCCCCCCCCCCTGCCCCCTCCTCTGGATCCGCCAGGGCATGTGGCACGGACGCCGCCTTTTAGGGGCGAAGCTCCTTAAGGCGTGGGCTGTGCGTCCCCTGTATGTAGCCACCTCTCGTTTAGTTCTTGCAGTGTCCACTAGATGGCGGTACCGTCTCTTGTATGTCGCCTCCTCTCGTTTAGTTCTTGCAGTGTTCACTAGATGGCGGCACCGTCTCCTGCATGTAGCCACCTCTCGTTTAGTTCTTTCAGTGCTCACTAGATGGCGGGACTTGTAGCTGATGATGAAAAGATGCAAGATGTTATAAACTAGACGGCGGTACTTGTAGTTGATGATGAAAGATGCGAGATGTTATAAAATAGGAAAGATGTCACATATGGCACGTGTCATTGGTGGAAGGCAATCGTTCGATTTAGTGCGGCGACGTACGCTAGGGGGAGCATTGTAATAAAATCGAGTAGGCAAAATGTACGGAAGATTCATGGTTTACCAGGTTTTCCTCCAGAGCTTCGCCTACTCATCATCATTCACTTCGTGGATATGGCGGCACTTTTTTCCTTTTTATCGCTGCACGGATCAACGGCCCGGCCGCGATGCCTATAGCGGAGACGCTTTGCTCATTATGTATTCGATTTTTTTTCGAACGTGACTAGTAGTATGATTTTACGGAGAAACAACGCGCTAATGTGGCCCTAAACGTGTTTCACGCTTAAACAACGTGGAAAGGCTATAGCTTCGCCCGCTTTTCAAATTCGAAAACGCCTGCGCCTGGTCTCAGAATGCGTTAGTAAAAAAAACAAGCGCCGTTTTTATAGGTTTTCCACGAGAAACCTACCTCATCGGTCTGTCTTGCTGCTTTTAAAGGGAAAGTCAAGGGGGCCGTGAGCTTTCACGTACGGATGGTTGTGGCTTTGTGGACGTCGCTAAGGCGGAGAATCAACCAAGTCAAACGGTGCCTTACGCATTCTCCGAAGACGACTTGAAGGAAAAAAAAGCACTTTATTCATTCTTTTTAGATGCGAAGCAGCTTATGAACGAGACGTGTGCTCTCCCGCGCCTAGCCGCCGCTGTCGATGATGCTGATGACGATGGAGAACAAGCGCGTTCTAAACCACACATACATTCTATCTCTGCTATCACGGCGCCGGGTGTCGAACCTACGACCTCTCGCTTCGCAGTGCGAAACCACTAAGCCACAGAGCGTGCGTTGCTCAGCCTGCTAACGGCGGGCTATTTATGTGTATCATATGTCGTTGACGGTCCTCGGAGCTCAGAAAATAAGCGCGTTTTCGTCATCAACCGCGAGATGGCGCAAAAGGCGCGCTTCGGGTGCGTTCTAGAAGTCGTCGCTCAGCGCGTTGCGATGCGTGCGCACTTATCTCGTTATCGGGGGTACCTTGTACGTCTTGTACTTCCACAACAAGCGTACATTGAAATCACGGTGGTTAAAAAGTGCACGAAGGTCACGAAAGGAGCGCGCTGCTAACACACGAAGTATAACGATTGTGACAGTTTCCCGCGCTCGCCCAATGCATACTTGTGCGTTCGTTTCGTACGTCTTCGGCAGCGCACTTTAAATGTCGAGCTGTGATAGTCGTTTGTCTGCGCTCGTTCTGAATATGCCCATTTCGTGCTTGAGGTGCGCGCTGCAAGTTTCGAGCTGTTGCCGTTCTTCACATGACGTTACAATGTGATGCTGTAGCATTCATTCATTCTCCCTTGTGGCAAAATAATGCACAATAAACGCTAAACTGCCTCCGCGAAGACATGTTTCGCTTTCGTGTAAATACCGATGCTCAGACAGATCAGCCACGTTTTTTTTTTCTGTTTTCCGGACATCTGTAGAAAGCAAAAGACACCTTAATAGATGGAAAGTTAGACTGTCTAATTAGACGTTTTGCAGGCTGGTCTATAACTTTATCATTATTTTTGTCCAGCTTTGTTGCTTTGAAAGTCTGTTAATTAAAGGAGTAGTGACACGATTTTGAGACACACAAAGAACTGCATTTCCGATGGAGGTGGAAATGTTGAAGGCCCGTGTGCTAAGATTTGGGTGCACGTTAAAGAACCCCAGGTGGTCGAAATTTCCGGAGCCCTCCACTACGGCGTCTTTCATAATCATATGGTGGTTTTGGGACGTTAAACCCCACATACCAACCGAGACACCCAAAGAAAGATATATTTTGTGTCCTTGGTGTGCGCTATCAACGCTCTGAACATACCGGAGCCGGACAACATGTACCAAAAAAAATTACCTTGATTTTAAAGCTTTCGTCGCCCGGCATCTGCAAAACCTGCCCCACAACTATGGGCATTTTTTCACTACGAGTCGACACAGTTTCTTGAGTTTTCTAAATTTGTGTCCTACATGCAGCCTAAGTCGCATAAATCAGTCGCAGACTCTGGACGACAATGGACTCGTCATTTGCGTGAACTACGCGTGACTGACGGCAAACGGGCAGCTGCTGCTAGCAGGACGTGAGTGTCAGTCTTACCGTGACCTCAGACCTCTCTTGACATTTAACTGCGAAGCCACCCTCTCGATACCTAAACCAAAATTGCTGTTTTAAGGCAGCCGTATTAAAAGTATATTCAATGCATTCTCAAGCATTACGACACTCTTTTTAAGGTTCTTGACGCCCGCGTTTTTGCTTAGAGCAACAAACCGAAACCATTTAAAAACCGTGACAGTACTTTTTTTCACGCCTAATAAGTCAATAAGAAGAATAAAAAAATGTACTTCAGGGAAATAGTCAGCAACTTGCATTAAAGTGCGTCGCCTTCTTTTCAAGACTACGCCCAGAGCTAGCTGGGAGCTCTATAAGGCCGGGAAAAAAGCTGCGGTAGAACATCCATCAACCGACGAGAAACACCTCACAACCCACATTTCGACGCTTTCGGGCCATCTCTTTCACGACTTGCCCATTAACTCCGTCCTGTCAGTGTGCTAAGGTTGTCGCTCCAACTTTGGGTTGAAAACTGGCACAGCTGGGTTTCGCGTTTGGAAGCGGGACACCTGAGCGGCTTTCCTTGAGAAACCTCGTTGAAAGGCCGATATTGGGTCTTATTTGTGACAGGCCTGTCTTGACACTTTCTCTTCCCTTACGCATGCACACGAAATGGCGTAATCGCCACTGGAATCTCTCGTGCGTTGCGCCTGGCTGTGAGAGAAAGGCCCAGCTCTGTGTCGGTGATGAAGGTCGGACCGGCTCGTAATATTCGAAGACAGAGACATTTACGTTGACATGTTTGATGTCGCTGGGTGTTCAAGTTGGATTAGGATTAGCATGTTGTAGGTAGCCGGTTATCTATAGCCTTGCGAAATACGCAAGAAATTGCGCACCCGGCTTCCTCTCTGTCCCTTTTTCTT